AAAAAAAAAAAAAAAAAAAAAAAAGAAAAAAATAAAACGCAAACACTCGTATGTCACATTCGTAAAAAGAACAAAAAGGACCAAAAAATATGCAAGAAGCTTACGAATGCACAAAAATGGAACCGCAGACGAGCACAACGAACCAGCCAGCGTGCCAGAGAACTCGCGGCTCGAAAGAAATAATCGCGAACCACCTTTGTGACTTCAGGAAATTGCGGACCCTTTGATGGATCTGAAGCAGGGAATGGAGACCCTGCGAGTGAATAAAACGTTCCGCGGGATTCTGAGCACGCTCCTTTCGATCGGGATATTCCTCAACGGAAATGAGGTAGGTATTGAATGCCAGCCAAATGATATCCGCTTAATCCGTCAGTCGGAATCAGTCGTTCGCGCCGAATCGATATCTATCAGCGTCGATGATTTTCGTGTGATCGTTGTTCGATGATTTGGAAAAAGGGGCGAGTATCGGTTTAAACACTTTCCTTGGACCATCACTACAAAAATTCACCGTTCATTGTGAATACCAAAATGTATTTAAAATTGTATCTTGGGTTTAATAAACATCTTTAAATAAAAAAAAAAAATTCTCTATCTTTAGACCGAAGCGTCCTGTTTTGCGACCAAGTTTTCAGGACAGAAAAAACAAACAAAAACAAAATCACATAGAAGCTCCGCTCCCCCAGCGGCTTAAACCTAAAAATCATATTAAACACGAAAATCATATTAAACACATATTATAGCATGGCTACGTCGTACCGTTGCGTATCGGTACTTTTGCCTAAAACATCACTACAAAAATTCACCGTTTATTGTGAACACCAAAAGGTATTTAAAAATTTGTATCTTGGGTTTAATAAACATCTTTAAAAAAAAAAAAAAAAGATGCCGTGTTCCTCAATATGACCACCATTGGTCAGTTGTTTAGATCTTGTTCTTTCACACCAGTGTTTATAGATGATGGTCGATGTACTTTGTAACATCGTGCTGATATTACGAGTTTACATAAGTTTTTCCTATTTTATTATTTATTTGTTATTACCCGAAATATGAAAGTTAGCATTCTTTGTTATGTTCATGTACCTCTGTTGTGGACATTTAATTCCTTTAGAATTTCTTCTTGTCATCAATAGTAACACTGTTATTCCAGGGACTCGATTCTTATGCAGTTTGATAATTATTATTTCAAGTAATTAATATAAATATCCAGCCAAATCATCCTTAAGTATTTGCTTCAAGCGATTATAATCACAGATATCAAACATATGAAACAATTCGTACGCAAAATTTTATGAAAATGCATCGATCTACCTTCGAAGCACCCAAATATAAAAAGTAATAAATTTCAAAATTGAATGCTACAAACATATCGTTGCGATATCTACAAAAAAACAGAAAAAAGGAAAAACGAGGTAAAAAATATTATTTGAAGTAGATAAACGATGCTTCTAGCCACACGAGGCCGTTTTCATGTTCCGGATAGCCGGACATACGATATGAAATGTAAAAATGGAGCATTCGCACGAATATTCGTGACGAACACTTTGCGATTCTATTTCGATCTTGGACGATTTCTTTTCACTCGTCATCGTTTGCTTCCGTTCGAATATATTAAAACCGTGGTTCTTTGAATGGCGCACTAATCATTTCTTATCAGCCGCTCTCGAGCGTGTTTTTGCACGACACGCTCGATCATCGAAATTGTCGCGTGGCTCAGATATTTGCCTCTCACGTGAATTCGACTCCTTCTCTCACGTTTTACAGTGAATTAACGGGGGAAATTATGAGTGAAATGAAACTCGTTGCTCGAAATTAGGATTGTCGTGATGCAAATAATATGAATTTAATCGCGATAATATTAGCATGCAAATTCATAGAAAGTAGGTAATTACAAATGCTATGCTGCAGATTAATGTCCATAATGAAAGTTTATTTATTCGCTAATTTTTCAGTCACAGAGCTGGAACATTATACAGTGGAACTTTACTTATCTAACTTGTCATTTATGTAAACGAACTTGCGGTGGTTTTGTTCTTTGTAATAGAATTTATATCTTGCAATTTTATTTGTAAATAATACAAGATTGATAGACGAAATATAAATATAAAAACATATAATATTGCGACACGATTAAACTGATTTTTGAAAACCAATATGCAACAATAAAAATAGCTGATAATCTTGTGTTCTTCGAATTCCTCAATTTCTAGATTATAAATCAAATTTAAAGTACTTTTTAAGCTGATGAGAAATAACAGTATATATAATATGTATATGAACGAAACATTACACCTAATAACAGGAGTCAATGAACTTTTATCGTATTATACGTATATTTTATTCTACACGTACTACAAAACTTCCGGAATTTTTCACACGTTTGTTTATCTACGTTTCATGGAGGAGTATTATAACTACACCAAAGAGTATCTTATTCATACGATTGAAAAGAGTTTACATTTATAATTAACGAAATAACGTGCTCGTAAATTTTGTTTGATTCTACCTTAATAATATGTTACAGACGAATAACATCGGAACTTTTAAAAATTTCACAGTCAATCAGCAATTCGCATTCCAAAGAGCTGGAATTCTCATTTGATTTTGTAATAAACAAGTCACAAACGTTCGCATTGATTAGTTACACTTTGATTCTCGAAGCGAAAAATCGTAAATTAATTATCGTGCTAACAAGCATCCAGTCGTCAGGTAACGTGCACTCGTACTTTACCTTCGCAACGAGATCTCTCAAATCGATCCGTCATTCTATTTTACTACGATTTAAATAAATCAGTCTAGCGTAAATTATCGGATAACCGCGAGTTATTCGATAACAACCCCGGGGATTCGACATAAATATTCTACAGATATTATTTGATTTTCCAGCAGCATACGAAATTCCATTAATTATTAAAATTAATTAATTACATTTCGGTCTGTAATCGCGATCGTTCTACGATATTGTTACAATAAAATTGTAGTTACAAAGAGGCAGTGAAATTTGATCGAAGGAAATAATAAAGAAAAGTTCAACGCAAAAATATAAAAAGCTAGAATTTCACCTGAAACCCTTTTATCGCTTCACGGACAATCACAATTTGACACCAAATTAAATCTAACGGGAAAAAGGCTAAAAAGAATCTGGCCAAAGAATCTAAACAAGCCAGAATCTCATTCAATTGTATCCGCTCGTCGTTTCCATCGAATCAAAAACGAAAAAAGAAAAAGAAATGAAAACAAAGTATAAACGAAAAAGTAACGGCAAGTTGAAAGGAAGGAATCGACGTGGCAGAATTGGATATGCCGTCCTCGTCGAGTTAGAAGCGCGTGGTCAACATCGATTCCGGGTTTTCGCAGCAATCACGTTACGCGCGAAAGTGGCCAGAAGCGTCGGGTGGAAAGCCTGTACCAGCGAGAACGTAGAAGTTAGCCAGAACGATATTCCGTACGTTGTGTAACGCTGAAACGTCGCTTCGTTCTTTTTTAGGTGAAGGGCTTTCAGCTGGAATACCTCGCCAAAGTACCTGAAGTAAAGGATACGGTTCACAAGCACTCGCTGCTTCATCACCTTTGCCACATGGTGATGGAGAAGTTTCCGGATTCCACGGATCTCTATTCGGAGGTGAGAGGCAGCTTACTTCCGCGTCGAAGGAACCGGATAAAACTTTAGTCTCGTCGCTTCGTCGCTATGCACGTTCGCTAGAAACCGAATAACCAGCGCTACATTTGCGAAATCGCGAACGGGAACTTCGTGTCCCAGACGAACTTCTTCTTCGACTCCGGAAACTATTACGAATGGTGTTTCGCGAAATTGTAGCGCTCCCCAGGAATTTCGGATTTCCGGTGTAATTGCGGTCGCAAATAATTTATAATTGATGTTTGTTGTTGTTACCGAAGTAAAGTTATTTTAAGCAATTTGAGTATACTGGTATTCGGAAGTGTAGCTTCGATATTTTTTTTTTTTTTTTATTCTGTTAAAACGAACGCAACATGGCTGAAAAGTTTAACCAGGCTGGTTCGATACATTAAAGACATTTTTACAGGCTCTCTTGCGCAATGGAAGTAGAATTAATGAAGTTCCATAAATTACAAGTTGCAAATTACGAGCATCAACGAACGCTTTGCCTTTATGTAGCACTAACGAGTTTAACGACAAAACAAAATTAATTATAGAAGCAAATTTCATAAATTCGAAGCTATTTAATTATCTTATTTGTTGCGCAATTATACAATTATAAAAGAAAAGTCTTTTACATAGAAATCATATTTTGTCAATTTTCTAATATCATTAGTCACATTATCGTGCAAGTGAATCCAGATATAATTATTCGCAAGTTCTCGATTACTAAAGGAAGATAAAAGTCTTCCTGCGTTTTCTTTAAAACTTTTTCTCCTATGTAGCGCATTTCCTAAGAGAAATTGTATTTGTATCACTTTTCCACCGAGTCGTTCGTATATTTATTTCATGCAGAATAATTCATACACGTGTCGTTTGAAAATCGAAACCAAGGAAAGTCTATGAATCTTGTTCAGATCGGCGCTGTGACAAGAGCATCGAAAATCGACTTCGACGAGCTCGCGGCGAACATCGGGAAACTAGAGAGCGAGTGCAAGGCATCCTGGGACCACCTGAAGCTCATCGCGAAGCATGATGGTTCCACGATGATGAAAGTCAAGTAAGTACCAAAGTCGAAATTGTATGTCGTCAGACGAGATCGATTCGATCTAGGGAGATCGTATTTCCTCGCTGGCCTTTAGAAGGGAACTTCGTTCCACGAAGTTTTGAAGTTTCCGAAGATTCGTACAATGTTCGATAAATTCGCGGCAGACTTTTTTTCTCGTGGCAAAACTGGCACAGTTCCAAATGGCACCGCCATTAATTACCTAAAACGTATTTCTTCCTTCCATACTCCTGCTTCCTGCTGGTCCCCTTTAACCTTCCTCCTCCTTCTATTTTCCCCCCTTTTTTTATTTTATTTCATCTTATCCCGTTTCTACTTCGTGGTGGATTTTCGGAACCTTTATCTGTTCATCCCCCTCCATCGAGCTTGTCCTTATCTAAGGAGTCGGTTATATTCGGTAAGCTCTTCCTCGCTCTTTTTATCATTTTCTTTTACCCTTAGTTAAGGTTATTAACTTGTGCGTTGCTGGCGAGGCAAGATATTGATAGAAATGGAATAGAGTTCGTACAGATCGATATAACATTATACGATGTGATAAGAATTTATTTGAAAAATTTATTTTAAAAAACGTAATATCTACTGGAAGATAGAATCAACCGATTGCTAATTCAGTTAATTGCTACAGCTTTTTAACACAAATCAATTCACCGTATCGTTAAGTTTATATTGATAAAAAAATTCTGCAGTAAGTGTCCGAGTACTTTCCTCAGCTACTGTGTATCGCAGTGATATTTTGTTCAACGGTGAAGCGTCTGGTTAACGTTGGTTGGCGTGGCCGCTGCGTTAATTAAGTGTAACGGGACGGCCTAAATGTCGGGCCGGGTTAATTCGTTTTTGCCTGAAACTCGTTTAAGCGATCGTCTACGCTGATCTCCAGTCTTCTCGAACGTACTGGAGTAATGGAAATGTTTCATGTAAAAAAATGACCGTCGGTGATTGCCTTTTTGCGAACCTTGATATTCAATGCTGTCAGAACACGATGATTCGTCGGAACGATGGGACGGGAAAATCCGCGAATTCAGCGTATCAAAATTATCGACGTCGCGTTTTCGTTCATTTCGATCAACATGATTTAGAAACATGAGTTCTGCTATTCAAATGCAAAGATACATGTACATGTAGTTAAAATTCATTTTTCGTTTCAAATGCATCTTCACGATACAAGATATTGATTAGAATTCTTCTATCCCGCACCTATTTCATCGAAGCATAGAAACTATCGATATGGTAAACATAGCAATAACAATAGCCTCATAAATCAATATAAAAAAACTTATTTCATTGTATACGATGCAGCAAGTTACACATGGCATTAATCTCCGATTTCTGAATACTGTTTGTCGAAGCAGAATGTCAGACTTCCTGGCGGACTGTGCGGAGAGGATAATCGTGCTGGGCATCGTGCACAGGCGGATCATAAATCGATTCCACAAATTCATCTTATGGCTGGGAATCCCGCTGCACAGGGTGCAAGACACGAAGCCGAATGAGTTTTGCCGGATCGTGTCCGAGTTCGCGCTCGAGTACAGAACCACCCGGGAGCGGGTGATACAACAACTGGAGAAAAAAGCCAATCACCGTGAAAGAAATAAGACCAGGGGAAAGATGATCACAGAGGTGAGTTACAAGCGGTGCCTCGGCTCCCGGTGCTCGTATTTTTCTTGGACCGGCGGCA